GATGAAATCTATATTCCAAGTATTTTCTCAACCTTCTGAAGTGATTTTTTTTCCAATTGTTTTATGATCTGTGGTAAGAGCCAGCCTTTCATAGAGAGGCATGAAAAAAGTACTACCTTTTATCCTACTTTTTCAACAGAACTTATATTTTCCCATGCATTACATTCAATAAAATAAGTGGAAGGTTAAAAATGACCTGACATGCTTTGTGATCCGTTTGAAATCAATGTTCATCTTTAAGGATGAAATTTTCACCTTGTTTATGCAGTAGGCATACAGCCGGTGAGTAGCAACCGTTGCTGTGTGTGACTTTGTGAGAAATTCGAGTGCTTATACCGAAAGTTATGGTGTTAATAAATCTCTCCAACCTTACAGTTAGTTTTATACGTACTGCTACTAACATTTTTACTGCAGGAGGTACAAAAGTTGCTGCTTTTCAGTTTTTCTCTCGTTCTGCCCCTTTCTTTGTTGTGTGAGTTGTTTACTTTTAAAAGCATATGTGCAATTTGTATTCTGTAGACACACCTCTGTAATGACTTCTGAGCAGAAAAAATGTGTGTGATTAATGATGCACCTGTGTCTGCCAGCAGACTGGCACGGCATCAGCACAGACCTTCAACTTGCCCTCACTTGGGCACAATCTTGTTCTAGGTGATGAAGGGAGAAACTGGGAAACTTGTTTTGTATTCTACATTGGTGACTTTGTTATCAATTTTTCTTTTCTTCATAACATTCCCTGTCTTGGTTGGGGTCTGAAGTTTGGTTTGGTTCAGTTTCTTTAGTTGGTTCTAGTGGTTGACCCTGCACGTAATAAGGGATTTGAAACTAGACAATCACTGTGGTCCCTGTTTTTCAACCCAGGCCATTCTATGATTCTATGATTCCCTGTAATAGTTGTGTTTGGGTGCTGGCTTCTAGTGCTTGGCCAAAAGTGAAATGCAGAGAGCCCTGCAATGCCATGGCAGGTTTTGTTTGGAGAACTAGGAGTCTTCACAAATTGTGTTCTGCAGGTACAGTGCAGAGAGAATCAGACACACAATGTGGAAGGTTTCTTGGAAACCTTCTTCCTTACTTGTTGCTGAACTCAGGATCAGTGTTTTTTAACTATACAGTTTAGTAAAGAACAATCAGCCAGTCTTATCTGCATACCAATAGAATCTGTATTTTGTTTTGACGCTGCAATATGTGAGGGCTGCTCTGAAAGTAATGCCTCCTTTTTACAATATTTGCCCATGATCTCACAAGTGAATGTTGGTGGGATGGCAGCAGGGGTTGAACCTTCCCGTTCCAGGCTGTTGCCGTGTGACAGATGGCAGCAAAGGGGAGTCTGACAGAGTGGTGTCTGACATGGACATGCGGATAAAGCAAAGGGCTGTGCCTGTATTCCTTCATTTGGAAAAAAAATGGTGCTCACTGACACTCATCAGAGCTTAATGGAGACCATGCCGTGGACATGAGCACACTGGGGCAGTGGATGGTGCGTTTCGGCGGTGATGACAGTGACAGTGTGTCACCTCCACTGGTGCAGACTGTTACCAGCGTGACGTGTGGGCTCTTGCTCATCACTGGTGAAAATCATAGCTGATGCTGGTGACCGTGTTGAAAAATAGTGCTTTGTAGGTGAGACTTTCTTCTGTCAAACAGTGTCATTGTGCTCTTCGTATCTGTTGTCGCTTCTATGGAAGTCAATAGGAAGCATCACTTCTGACGCAACCTGCATAATTTATATCTCTCCCACTGGAGAAGAGGTGCCAGTGGAATGCCATCCTGTCTGTAGGATGCAGACAGTGGAGCACAGGCCGACGCCGACAACAACAGAGGAATGAAACTAGAAATACAGGAAAAGCGCTATTATTTGCACAGTCAGTGAAAGACTCTCAGACCTTTCTCTCATTTGAACTGTCTTCTGCTGTGGCTTTCTTTACACGCTATTCAAAATACTCGCTGTTTGCATTTTGACTGCGAAGTTGCTGCTTGTTCTTAGCAATTATTTTCCCTGTTCCTCTCGGGCCAGATTGTTGTCTTCTCTCTACCTTGTGGGCAGGTATCAGTGCATCGTGTTTTTTCCTACATGTGTCTTTAACTTCCTCTTTTTTCTCTTCTCCTGGGTAAAACTCTAAGTCTCTTCATGCGTTTAGAGTTCCCTTGGTCTGCCTGTCATTGTGATTTTCCTCTCGCATTCAGCTCTATATCCTGTGCCTACAGCTAAGGTTTTGTTTTGCTAATGAGACATTCTCGTTGTTGGCATGGTTTGAAAAGCAGCTGGATATCTCTTGTTTATCTGCGCGCCATTTGCTTGTTTTGAAGGAATGACCTCGATTGTGCTTTATTTCACATGGAAAGATTTGTGCACTATTGCTATTAAGTGTAGATATGGAGGAACTCAATGTAGCCCTAAAAAGGCCGAAAGCCGAAATCTAATCCCTCAGCACCTGTCGGTACATTCCAGCAGGGATGGCACGTGGTGGCGGAGGAGTGAAAGGGCTCTGCTCTCTGTGACTGCTGAGTTGTTCTCGGTTTCATATCCAGTAAGGTTTAAAATATGCCTCTGTAGCAGTCATCAGAGGTTAATACAATTTTTTTCTTACTAAAGCAAAACTATTCATAGAATCATAGAATGGTTTGGGTTGGAAGGGACCTTTAAGATCGCCCAGTTCCAACCCCCTGCTATAGACAGGAACACCTCCCTTGAGAGCAGGTTGCTCACAGCCCCATCCAGCCTGGCCTTGAGTGCTTCCAGGGAGGGGGGGCATCCACAGCATCTTTTGGCAGCCTGTTCTAGTGTCTGACCTATGAATTAAAGTACATACAGAAAATGCAGGGGGGAAAAAAAACCAAAAAACTTTCAAGAAGGCTTTTTGAATTTCTGCATCAGCTTCAGAATGTGGCTTGTGCAGCACAGGGTGGCTCTGGGAAGCACAGGCGTAACCGGAATAACTTGCTGGCATAGACTGCTCTCGTGGGACTGCAGTACTGCACATACGTTTTTGTTGGTAATAGCATCCTTCCTGCAGCATTGCCTGACTTTAACCTGCAGGTTCTTTGTTATTTTGGTGGTTCTTCTCACCTCCTTATTGAAAACAAACAAACAAACAAAAAAAAAAAAAAAAAAAAAAAAAA